TCTCTCTCTCTCTCTCTCTCTCTGGGTCCTGCAGGGCAGGTGGTTCTTCTCTGGCAACTCGCTCTTGTTTGGGCCAGTCTGAAAACTGGATTGTGCATGGCCAGGGCAGGGGACACCCCTTCTGGGCAGTTTAACAGGGCTATCCCAGAACGGTGGCCCAGGACATGAAAAGGCTTTTCCCCTGAGCTCAAACTCACAGACACCGAGTCCCCGGCCGAAACATTTGAGGCAAGCCCCTCTCTGCCAGGAACAAGCCCAGATCCGTGGCTCCTGTATATGGAGTGGGTGTTTCTCTGAAGGTAGACGTCTCACCCAAACATGCTTCAAAAGCGAGGAGTGAGGCATGTCTCCCCTTTTTCATTCGGGAGAAAAGCAGCAGCCGCCCCCTGCTGCCACCACACCTGTTCTCTCAGCTCACCAGGTGCCTTGCAGCCCCTCCGATCAAGTCAAAGGGTTGAGCCTGGCTTCTCTTGGAGAGAACTTCCAGCCACAAGATGCTAACAGCGTGGAGGTCCTGGCTGAGAGAACGCTCTCATCGCTGGGCGTTGAATGGGGAGGCTTCGTGCCACAGATCCGCCTTCAAAATCTCAAGCAGCTCCCTGTCATCCCATTTTAAAAGGGCGACTAGAAATTCAAAATTCTTCGGGACTCTGAGGAAATGAAGCTGCTTCAACAACAAGAGCTGGCTGTTCCGGGAGCAGAACGTTTGCAAAGGAGCAGAGGAAAGAAAGGGCCCTGCACCCACATGATAAAACCTACCCCAACACACGAGGCGAGCCTTTGCCAGGAATGTGGGTCATGGCCTTGTCTGGCAGGCAGGAAAGGAAGCTGCTCTCCTGACCAGTCCAGGAAGGCTTGGTGCTGAAATCACAAACAGGCTCAGTCCCAGCCCCCCTTGACACTGAAGTGTCAGCAGGAATGCTCTATGGCAGAAGGGAGGGGGTGAAGGAGTGTGTGTGCCTAGCTTGCAGGATACTCCTGATCTCTTTCTCTCTCTCACACACACACACACACATCACAATAACACACTCCCCCAAACCACAACTCACCTTCCCCCAGTGCCCGGCGGAAGGGATAAGGCCATCACTCCTAAGCTCCTGGCCGTTTTGGGATTGAGGGCAACTAACCGGAAGGCAGGCCTCCCACAGGATTTGCTCTCTTTGGAGCGCGGATGACTTACAACCACAAAGAGGAGACCCTGCATGCAAGGAAGGAAGGAAGGGGCACGTCAACAGAATTGTCAGTAGGCATGGGTGGGAGTGGGACACCAGCCATCCTGCAGCTGAGGAAAGCCATTCCCGGGTTTCTACTCTCGACGCCCCATCGCCAGGGCCCCAAACCCTGAAATCTGGAAGGAATGTTAAACTCGGTCACAAAGCTGACTAGAAATGGAACTGGTGCTGAAAACGCAGACCCCAAAATATGCGAATCTGATTCTCAGAAACCAGTCCAAAAATGGCACGCTTCCAGAAAAATACTAAGGTTTGGCTCCTCCGACTGCCGTGGGATGCAGGCGGCAAGGGGAGCACCTTAAGGAGGCAGAAACCACAGCCGCCACTCCTCCTGGTCAAAAAACAGGGGGGGGGGGCTTGAACAAATAGCAAACACCGATAGAAAGGGGCAAATGCTCCAGGTGCAGCTTGAGTCTTGGATGCTCCTCTGAGAAACCTGACCTCTTTTCCCTGATCCCAACAGACTGCTTTTCATAGTTCGCACAGAACTCTGCTTCCCAACACCTACCAAGTCCGAGTAGGCCCTGGGGCAGAGAGTCGCTGGGTAGGAGTAACCCACCGGGATCCTTCTCAGCAGCTGGCCGGAGGTCACGTTCCTGCACAAGATGAAAACACAGGTCACTGCTTCTGTGGCTGAAGGCAGGAAGAAATGTTAAACCCCTGACTGCCTCTGTGATGCTGTGAGCGGCCAGCAGGAGGCAGCCCATCTGCGAGAACAGGGAGTTTGTTTACTTGAGTTGGGGTTGGGTGGGGGAGTCTTTGCCTTCCCAGATTCCCCGACTCTGGAACTCACTCCCCCCCCCTTCAAAGTTGTTCTTGGTTCCCACTCATGCTGCTTTCGGTAGAGAGCCTAAAAGCTCAAAAGAGGCTTTCAAAAACCCTTATTGTGATGTTTGTAACCATCTTTTTGAATCTTTTTTCCGTTTGTTTTTAACTTGATGTTTACAAACCGTCTGGAGCGCTGTTTTGTAACAGAAAGGCAAAGCAGCAACATAGTAAGCAAACAAATCAAGCGAGAAACCAGGTCGCGGAGGGATGCTCACCAGACCACAACAGAGTTCACGGCTGTCATGCCAACCAAAGCCTCCTCCATCCCGTCCACTTCAGCAAAAGCCTTCAGGGTCTCTTCGGGAGCCATCAAGGCCCACCTGTCCCGGCTCCTGCAAAGGAAACCAACAGCCACAGGGCCGTTCGCCGAGAGATTTCCTTTTTTCAACTGCAGCGACTCCGAGACCTGCCCAGCCGGCTCGGCCAAAAAGAGGCGACCCTTCCAAGCGCCCATTAAAATACGCAGCACCATTGCAGGCCACGAACACCCACGGGCCTGCCATTTCTGCAGCTGGAACCAACGGCTCCTTTGCCACAGTAGGCGAGGTGGGGCTGGGAGAAGCGGGGCCCCGTTCGCTCCCCAAGGCTGCTTTCCTGGGCCTCGGCCTGCCTGCACACCCCCTTTTTTTCTGCAGAGAGAGTTGAGAGGACTCCTACACAACTGACTTGCCAGCAAAATGCTTTCCTGTCTCCCCCCATGTTCTGGGAAGACCCCTCTATTTCTTAGTCCCCTTTCGGAAACAGCAGCCTTCCCAAGGCGCCTTGATGACCCGAACCGCCCGGCCTTGCCCTCTTCCTCACCTCCCTGCCTTGGAGAAGGACGTGACTTCCACCTCTTGGCCCTGGAGTGAGCCACAGCTGGTGACCAGCCTTCTGCCCTGAAGTCCAAGAAGAGCTTTCACGTCTCCCGCTTTGGCCAGCGATTGCTCAAAGCATCCAGCCTCTGAAGAAGGAAGCAAGAATCTACAAAGAGAGGTGCCTCGTCAGCCTCTCACTCTCACCCAAAGTAGATTTACTTGGAATCAAGTCCCTGTGGGGAGGAGGAGAGTGAGGCTAACCGGAACGGACAGGCAAAGGAGCTGCTGTCTTACGATATAAGAAAAACAGGGCTCTGCACACAGTTTCAGCTCTTTCCCCCCTCTCAGAAGAGGGACCGTGAACTTGTAAACCTACTACGCTGGCCTCTGCGCTTGTCAGAGAGAGGTGTTAACGTTATGCATCTGCAGAAGACAATCAGGAACCACCCTGGCCCGTGTGGTCCTTGACTTGAGGGGCCACTTCAAGTAAGCCCCTCTGTGCTGTTTTCTGCTGGAGATGCCTGCTGAGTAGCACAGAAGACAGCTTGCTGAGTTCCTGACAGCTCAAAAGGATCGTGTCACCTGCAATGTGGTGCTTCATGCCTTCCCTTTTTTTCTCATGGTGCTGAAAAATAGCCACCAAGACCAATCATCAGCTTGGTCTCAAGGAAGGAATCCTGGCCAAAGGGGAGCGGCTGGGCTTAGCCTGAAACTGGGCAAAGGCGTTTTCACAGAATCATTGAGGACAACTACGCTGCTGAAGGAAAGGCCGCCTGAAGCTCTGAAGACGTTCCACTCTCCAACCAAGCCCAACTGACCTCAGTTCTTCCACCTCCAGGCAGCCCAAGGCCACGCAGACAAAGCAGCAGGCTCCCGGCAGGGGAATGATCCGAAGGACCGGAACCTGGAAAAGCAGCGCAGCAGAAGTCACCTCGGCTTCCACCCCCGGCTGTGTTCCCCTACCTCGCAGTCTGCAGAGCAGCACGGGGGACGTCGCCCTGCTCCCCTGCCTGAGGACTCCATGAACACCCCTGGGAAGACCTGGTTCACTCTTGGCAGGTGTCAACTGGCACACCTCCGCAAACGTTGGCACAGCTGGACAAGCAAAGGGCCTGGGCCACAAGGCAAAGCCAGGGCAGAGCCTGCCTGCCTGCCTGCCCAGAGGGGGAGAGAAGGGAGGGGACACAGAGGTTGGGACGCTTATGCTGGGGTGAGCAAAGGGAAGACGCCAGGCAGCCGTGGACTCCTCCCCAGGCTCTTTCTGTCCCCACCCTCTGACCGCCCCCCCCCCTTCAGGCAAAAAGGAAAAGGGCAGCATCTGGGAAAACTTGTACCCTCTGACGCCCCGAAGACCCTCGAATCTCTGAAACCGTCTGCTTTCAACGTTTGGCATTTCTGGGGCACTTGGGCCACTCAGGTGGGCCCCGTCCTGCCTTTGCATACATAAAACACAACTCAGAGGGTGGCAGGATTGTCAGTTCCCCGGGATCCCCCCCCCCAACCTTCTCAGAAGATCATTGGGGTGCCGGTGTGTGTTTGTGTGTCTGTGACTTGGAAGGGTAACAGCCCAGGGCTCCCTCTGTGCTTGGTGCCTCGGCCTCCTTCCCGTCCGCCCACTCCGACTTCCTAGGTTCCTGCTTCCTTCCCATCGACAGCAGCAGGAAAAGTGGCGGCAGCCAGCAGATGCTCTCCCCCCCCCTCCCCTCTCCATTCCTTGCCAGGGCAGAAGAGGCCTCTCCTCCTACCTTGGCAGAATGCCAGGTGCAGGCAGCCTCCCAGTGGTCAGGATCCAAGTGTTTCCAGAGAATCACCGTCCTCCCAGTCGCTGTCACCAGACACAGCTCGGCCGCTTCCCACTCCACGGTGCTCACATCCACCAAGCAGGACCCGGAGAAGCTCTGAGCAAAACAAGAAGGGTATGGTGGTGGGATTACCACCAAGGTCGACGGGCAACCCCTCGGGGGTCAGCAGCAAGCACGAGGGCAGAGGCTTCACCCTTCTTTCTCCCCCTGCAAACCACACGGGGAAAGGGGAGCCCCCCCCCGCGCATCCCCCATCCCGTTCCCCAGACCAGCAGGCCTTCCAAGGGAGACCAAGGGTCTAGCCAGCAAGATCCTGGACCGCCTTTGTGCCGCGTGCCTGGACCTTCCTCCCAGACACACCGCAAGGGAGACGTGACGCTGGGCCAAAACCTGGCTAAAGGTCTTCCCTTTCATGGCAGAGGAACCCTTGCCAACCAGGTCCAAAATGCAGCGACCTCTAGGCCTAGGTGTGCCCATTTCATTCTTGCCTTCTGCTCACCCTCCGGAGTCTCCTTTCTCCTCTCTCATCCCCGGACTTATGCCTGAATTTAGACTGCAAATGCCCCGGCGGGGAACAATTTGTCTCTACCACGGCAGACCCTGGCGGTAATCCCACAGTAAGAGGAGACTAGGTTTTGGAACCAACGTACATGGCTCAGGGACACGTATACCACGACTCCTAACTCCTCTGGGGTTACGCCTAGCTCCAGGGCAGCCCTAACGCCTGCAGAAGGAGGGCCAATCGCCTGTCTTCAGCCTAAGACTGGGGAATGGGTTGAAAGGCAGCAGCCCCTTTCTTAGAAGCAAGAGCCTGGAAAAACAGATGCTCTCACCTACACTTCCCAAAATCTCCCAACCACGGTGGCTAAACAGACCCAGTTTTCCAAGCTCCAACCAAAGTGTGCTGCACTGTCTTAGGCCGTGTAGCAGCCACCATTTTCCTTTTTGCAATTCCTCCGCAGTCGAGGTGGGAACCAGGTTTGATAAAATAACCGCAGCAGGCAGGCCCTCTCCTCCTCCATCCCTCTGCTTTTGCGGTCAAGAGCTCATTCTTCTAACCTGCAGTTTCGAAGTCATCTGCAAGCGCCCCTCGCGCCGGCAATCATCCAGGGCTTCTACTGGGCCCTTTGCCGTTGTTTCTTTCTGTGGAAAAAAAAAGAGATGAAAAAAGGGAAGCGAGAAGCTGTACTGGTGCTGTTTGTGTCCCCAGTTCCAGAAGGGTGACTGTAGACGCAACCTTCTCTACAAATGCTGAAGACCTGCAAGGTTTACTGGCATGTAAGGCGGCTGCGGAACAGGGTTCACAGAGACGGAGGTGCAAACACCCACAGTACAGGGCGGCACAGAAGGCATGAAGGAAGGGCAGAGCAGGCTAACAGGGGCTTGGAGGACAGCAGGGTGGAAGAGGCCAAGGCTGGAGGGAAAGGATACAGAGAGGACTCATGCAGAGGGTGGAAGGCGAAGCCAGAAAAGAAAGAGAAGCCGTGGCAAACTCAAAAGGGCTCCACGCGGAGGAGTTTTTGAGGCCATAGCAAACGAAAGGAAAACTCTCGGAAGCTCAGCGTCCCCTCTGCCCACCCCCACTGGGTCCTCCCGATGTTGGGCTGAAGCAACAAACGGAGGGTGTGTCCCCGCCGACCCCTTTTTACCTGCTCGGAGGTGTCCCTGTTATGGTGCAGAGACTCTGCGGCTGGGGACTGCCGTTCCTCAAGGCTCAGCGCTTCCCCTTCAGGCCCCCGGCTGGGTTTGCCTTGACTCTGGGACCGGGGTCTCCTTGTGCCACTTCCTGGCGGAGACGAGGCCTCCCCAAGAGGACCCGTCTCTCTCCCTGCGTTGGGCGTCCCTTGTGAAGGAGCAACACTCAATGTCTGGGACAAGATCTGGCTCGGGGGCAGCGCCTGGGAGGCTGGGGTGGCCCCCACCAGAGGGAAAGCTGGGGTCAGCAGCTGGGACTCCCGTGGGCAGCTCCCGCCCTCCAAGGCCGGAGAGAGGAGCCACTCGCTCGAGGGGAAGCCTTTCCCAAGCAAGCCTGGGGGGAGCCAGCGGGGCGAAGAAGGCTCTTTCCCGGCAGGCACGGGGCCACCACTGGAGTCCTCTCTCAAAGTTGCACCGGGTTCAGGACCGGTCCTGCCATCACACGGAGGGGCCCCGGGCGATTCTGCAGCATCAGGAGCCTCCAGGGATGTTGCAGGGGAGGGTTTGCATTTTTCCAGTTTCAGGAGGCCAAATTCCTCTTCCGGGAGGCAGAATTCTTGGACGTTGAGCCTTGAAGGCAGCCTCTTGAAAAGGGATCCCTCCTCCTCCTCCTCCTCCTCCTTTCTGGTGCCTGTGGATGCTGAAGCCCCAAAATCGGACCCAGAGAGGGAGGGAGACCTCTGGGGTCGACGTCCTCTTCCCCCTGCAAACACAAAAGAGAAAGGACCAAATGGCGCTCCCGAAAGGACAGCCGGTATTCTCTTACTTGGGCCTGGAACAGCAAAGGGTTCAGGCTCTCCTCCCCCTGCCTCCCCCCCCCCCATCTAAAGGAGGGCAACAGGACGAGCGTCCCAACCTCTGCCCTTCCACGCCTTCGCTCAGAGGAGGGAGGGGTTCCTCCACAGACGGTCCATCAAAGGAAAGAACAAATTCTGCCCCCAACGGGGAGCCCAGTCCTTCTCCAGGTAGGAGGCTGCCTCCACGCAGGCCTTTCCCGGCTCTCTCTTCTTGCTGGCCAAAGGAGGGCAAGAAGGCAGGAGGAGCAGGGAGCAAACACCCCCCCCCCAAAAAAAAACCTGGTCCCTGCCCCATGCTAAGCAAATCCCACTCTCTGACAGCTGGATTCTCTCAGGGGGCTGTTTTAGGGTAAGGGTGGGCACAGGCTGTTTCCCCCCCCCCCCATACGTTGCCGGAGCAGAGCTCCTATGGCCTGTAGCCAGCAGGGCTCGTTGGGGGGGGGTGTCTCATAGTCGCAGTCCCACCATATCGGAGGCATGCGAGCTGCTCGCCCAGCTATGTGGGGCAAAAGCAGGCGGCCACGCTGAGTGCTGCCCTCCAGAGTGACACAGGTTCCCACACCCCGAGGTGGGGCTGCTGCTGCTGCTGCGGTCTCTTTACCGTCCAGGGAGGCCTCGGGTGACTCATCAGGAGGCGAAGCTGCTTCACCCAGCTCAGGGCCGGGCCAGCCCAGGTTCCCATCCTGTTCAGGCAGCTGACTTTCAAAAAGGCACAGCGTGCTATTCCCATTGCTAGCAGGGAGGCCAGAGGCAACCTCCGGCACAGGGGAGCTCAGGGCGGCTTCTGACGCTGCCTCGAGGCCTCGGCGGGCACGGCACCGAAGCGCAGCCGGTCCTCTCCTGGCTCTCCTCTTCAATTCCACGTTCAGTTGGAAGGCTGCCGCCCTGCCTTCACCAGAAGAGCCTTCTTTCCCTCTGGGAGGAAGACCACTGGCTGCCTCAGGACGCGTGACCTCCAACAGGTCTTGCGAGGTGCAGGATGAGGCCCCGCGGCCCAGCCTCCCCCTTCCCCTGGGTGGCAGGATCTCCTCGCTCTCAGCCAGGCAGCTGCTCCTCCTGGAAACGGCCCCACTCACACGAGAAGGGGAGGCAGGTGGCAAAGGAGAAGCAGTGGCCCCGTGAGCGCCGAGGGCTGGGAGGCCCTCTCCCCTTTCTGCCAACGTCTCCTTGTGAGGAAGTCTCTTCCCTCTCCTGCTTTTCCCCAGCTGACTCTGGATGACGGCCTCCAGGTTCACCTCCCTCTGGCAGCTGGACATGCGCCGCGTCGTTCTCACGTAATACTCAACCGGGAACAGGAGCCCCTCCACTACCGTACACGAGCTGAGCACATTCTTCGGGGAAGCGGCCGAAGAATCCCCTTCCAGGAAGGGAGACCCAGCTTCCAGGCGGTCTCCTAAACCCTCGGCGTTTGGTCTGCTGATGGAAGAGTCACCATTATAGCTGCCCGAGTTCTCAGCCTCCCGGCACGTTCTCTCTTCACCAAGCCACACGTGGGGGGCAGGCCCCCCGGACACCGCTGAGCCTGCCCAACCTCCTGGATTTTCCTCAACTGCCTGTCCCTGCACCTGTTCCTTTTCCACGAGCGCAGGCTCTTTCCTTGCGTTCTGGAAGTCTGCCTGTGCCACAGCGCCTTCAGCAAAGGCGAGGATGCCTGCCTCACGAGGGTGGTCAGGGGAGGCCCCTCGGCCCGCTTGAGATGAGCGACACGCAAGTGAGTGTGAGAGGCTGGGCAAGATGGTTTCCTGCGAGCGCTCTGGCTCTGGCACCACAGGAGTAATGCCACTGCTTCCTCCTTCAGTTGTGGCCGAAAGACACATCTTGCCTGTCTCCAAAGCTTCCTGGCTGCTCCTCCTTCTCTTAAAGACTGGCGACTGTGACCTCCCAACACTGGCTGGCTCCCTCTGAAGTGTTTCAGACCCAGAGGAGGCTTCTCTCTTCTCCAAGGCGAAGGCTGCCCCCCAAGAGGCTCTGGTTTTCCTTCTTGACAGCTGACTCTGCCTTTTGCCAGCGACAGGACGCTCAAGGCTCAAGCAAGGCCTCCCGCAGCCTTTGCTGGCATGTTCAGAACCAGAAGACTGGGGCAAGTCGTCTTCTGGGCCGAAGACCTCGGCCTCCGGCTTGAAGCTGACATAGGTGGGTTTTGGGGGGCTCGCTGATGAACAAGGACCAACCTGGACCTTCCCAGAGGCCCCCTCATGAGCTGACCGGCCGAGGGGTTCTGCAAAGGGAAAACAAAGAGTAACTTGTTCCTTCTCAAGAAAGCATGTGGAACCTAGAGACATTACACGATGCTACATGATTATTCTTATATAGAATAATGCAAATACAGCTTAACTCTACAGAACAACCTGTTTTCTTTGCTAAAGCAGGGGTGGGTATCTTCAGTGGCTTTACAAACCAATTTCCTCCTTGTGTAGGCCACACGGACCGCTAAAAATGTTGCAGGGGAGGATAGAAGTTGCTATAAGCCTAGTTCCATTTCTGAAAAATGAGAATTATGGAGTATTAAAACACAGGGGAAGCAGGGTTGCAACATATATATTTTAAAGGAGAAGAACTACCTCCAGGGCACCATAGAAAAGAATCAATGTGGCTTTGTAAAGGCGGACAGTTCACACAAGAAACAGGTATCCATGCCAGGAGCACCCAGAAAGACCCCCACATCAGTCACTCCAAACTATTACCTGTATCATCCTTCTCAGCCTTGCCTTGCAGAAGCAGCAAATTTTGCTCGGCCACTGTTTTCTTGACATAACGTTTTACCTTCTCGGCTCTTTCAGCACGCTGAGAACAGCAAAGGGGGCAAAGAAAACAAATTTGGGGCTTGCATGAAGCACAAGAGTCCGGAAAATACCTTACCTTCCCCCAAAAGGAGAAATCAGCCACACAGAAGCCCCAGACGAGACACAGATATGTACCTACCTTCAATCTGTGGAAGGTCCTAGTGTATTCTCTTTTCAGTAGAGCCAGCTTCTCTTTCAGCTGTAAAAGAAATATATTACAAGGTGGTGACCACAGCTTACTATAAAAGAAACATGGAACTTGAATGGCAACGTTAGGTAGACTACAAGCCATCTGCTCTTGCGGAGAAGATACCAAAACACATGAAATATAGCAGCAATGAACTAGAAAAGAGAAAAAATAAAAAATATTTTGGCCTGCTATCCAAACAGTATTAGGGTAGGTCCATCTGGCCTTGACAGGGCGGTTTGTCACTACCTCCTCCTCCTCCTCCTCCTCCTCCTCTCTGACCAGCTTCTCTCTGGCTCACAAGAGGGAACGACATGGCTGATTGCCTTTAAGTACAGGCACCTTCCCATGGGAATAAGTGGCCCTTCAAAAATGGGGGCGCCAGCCTGTTTGAACAGAAGTACCCGAATCTTGAGCTGTGTTTGCGGGCAAAAACAGGCAACCCTGGAAACTGCTTTTAACAGGAGCACGAAGCCAAGCAAAATTCTAGCAGCCGTGTTCTTCTGCACCAACTTCAGCTTGCTGCACCATCTCCAAAGAGACACGCTAAAGAGGTGGGTTGAAGAAGGAGACTATTTTGGCCAAGGGAGCAGCTACGCCTCTCGAAAGTATGCCTGGGTCTTGAGGCTGCACATCCTGGCGAGAGATGTCGCTCTCTCGCGCAGCTTTCACTGCGACCCACTCAGTGCACCTTTCCAGGCCCGTGCACGACTGCATGGCAGCGGGTTCAAGGCCTCTTGGGCACAGCCTCACTGCACCGAACCTTGCAGAGTTTTCTGGAGAAGACAAAGCGTGCCCTCCGACTTTTTTCACGTGGCTTTTTCAAGGTTTGGGGGAGGCACACTCCCCCCCCGTCACCAAGAGAGGCCAGGTCATATTCTCCAATCTGAGGGCACCCCAAAGGACCTGCAGGAGGAAAGGCGGGGCGCAGGGGCGGCCTCCTGAGCCTGAAGGTCCCTTGACCCCCCACAGCCAAGGGTGAAGCCCACCCTCCTCTCCTCATGGGCTGGCGGGGCCTGGGAGGCAGGCTGCTCCTGGAGGTTCCACCTCAGAGCCCAGGGGCAATTTGGGCCTCCTCTGCCAGGCAGCCACTTCTTCGCTCCCCCCACCATATTGAAAGCCCCTTGGAAGCCTCTGCCACCCTATCATGTGGCAGGGAGTTCCACAGGCTCGGTTCCCGCCCAGGGGCTGCCAGGGAGCCTCCCCCCCCCCCGCGCCCCGGTCTCTGGCAAGCCCGCTCCTTCTCCAGCCCCCCCCCCAGGGGAGAGGCCGCCGCCCCGCCCCACCTGCGCCTTCTCTTGTGGGGTCAGCGCTCGGTCCCGGGCAGGCTCCATGGCGCCAAAAGCCCGCCGCTCCAGGGCGCATGCGCACCAGCCGCCTCCTTTCGCCGCGGGAGCCTCTGAGCCAGGCGCGGCACCATAGAGAGAAGCGATGGCGTGGGTGGGCTAGAGCGGCCCCATCCATTCCGGAGGAGTTTCCGGAGAAAAACCGGAAGTACAGGTCCGCCGTCTTGGCCCTGTCTCTGCGGTCTCCAGCGATTGGCTGGATGCAGGACCGCCTTGTAGGAGCAGGACGCTGATTGGCCGCCTTGACGGAAGTGGCGGAAGTTGATCCTGGTAACCGGGCGGCGTCCTGC